AAACTGTATTTTCTTAGCTTCTCTACCAGATGGTATACCCAGAGGAAATTGACACACAGAAAAAACAAGCATACTTTCTTTGATTGTTCAATGGAGTTTTGAATTACTTCCCATTTAAAAGAAGTTCACATTTATACCTTTTTTTTTAAATTCATAAAATGCCTGAAGAAGCATTATGTGAACAACAACATGGGTCAGGATGTAAGCTAACAGTGAAATAATCATACCCCTCAGGTGCACAGAGAAGCATGAGGCAGGCGTGGGTGGCTATAGTCACCAGAGGCTGTAATTATCACCTCTCCTAACATGAGAGACCCTGAAGCAGGTAACTGCACTTACCAAATGATTTAAATGCACTTTAGGAAGAAAACAAAAAACAGCTTTGGCAACTAGGCAGGACATATTCAGAAAGGGAAAAATTAAAACATTGTTTTACACTTCTTTAACTGCTTAAAACATTTAAAACGCAGCATAAATTTCAGTGTTAAGCACACTCATCAAGTGTGCTTTCAATAAAAGTGAAGTTGCAAACATTAAGCCATGCTTCTCAGGGAGTAAGTTAGCCATGCATATACTATTTTTAAAAATCTACATCCCTTTCAGATTTTACCTGTTAGACTTTCATGCCATTATCCTCTGAAAGGGGAAAGAAATCACCCATACTAAGAGAAAGGGAAAGGAATTCAGGCTTTTCAAGCACCAGAAAATGTGTATTGAGTCCGAGGTGCCCAGCTGTCTGACACTGGACGAGTCATTGTTTTGTTTTCTTTTTCCTGAGTCTTAGATTCACCAGCTAAAAACTTGGGAAAATAATATATCTAACTCACAAGTCTGAAAATAAAGTATCATGATACAGTCACTCTGTATGCTGATTATAAAGCAATAATAACCAATATTTAACTATGAAAATCTAAATTTGCATTTTAAAATATAAAATTTACTCATTAATACACACAAATAAAACCACCTAATTAACTTGTAAAATTATTTATTGACAGATTTCTGCCAAGAAAATAAAATTTACTACTGCCAGAAATAAAATTTCAATGACTTAAATATATTAAAATGGTATATTTAACATAGTAAATAGTAACTAATTTACTCTTTGGGTACTTAGTGGTCAAAAATTGTTCCTCTATTTTTTTTTATTTAAAAAAAAATTTTTTTTTCAACGTTTATTTATTTTTGGGACAGAGAGAGACAGAGCATGAATGGGGGAGGGGCAGAGAGAGAGGGAGACACAGAATCGGAAACAGGCTCCAGGCTCTGAGCCATCAGCCCAGAGCCTGACGCGGGGCTCGAACTCTTGGACCGCGAGATCGTGACCTGGCTGAAGTCAGACGCTTAACCGACTGCGCCACCCAGGCGCCCCAAAAATTGTTCCTCTATGATACACCAAAACAAACTAAGAATTTCTAAGAGGCAGAAAATAATCATCATTCCTTTGTTATCTGTAAGAATTTCATATGAAATTTATATCAGACACAAATCACAAATAAAGAGCGGAGAAGTTTTTATACTTATTTTTAAGGCTTCCTGGTTGCCAATATGCAAGGTGTATTAAAATAGCTATATCATAGTAATTAGCATTGATTCAACCATATGATATTAACGCTGCAACTACAGTGTGGCACTCTCCCAGTCTTTACTAAAATGGGAAGTAGAATCAGTATTCAGAGCTTACACAAATTAACAGAATGAAATGGGAACGTTTCCAAAGGTTATTTTTGGAGTTTCCAAAGAATTATATCCCCGGATTATGAAAAAGTGTAGGCTTCTGAAATCATTACTAAATACCAGCTAATATCACAGTTAGCATAAGCTGTGTTCTATTTTGTGTTACAGGATACCAGGCTGAGGCCAGTGGAGGTGCTGGTTAAGGCTCAGAGATCTTAAACTTGGAGAAAGGAGTTTGGATCTTGAAGAAGAGATGTAGACAGACATCATACATTCAATCAATACTGATCCCGTATTTAGACACACAACATTTATCAATTATATCCAACTTCTGCTTTTCAGGCATTGTTTAAAAATTAACACAGTACATATTTCCCTCCTTTTCTAATAAAAGAGCAAGATTAGTAGACATTCCTGATAAAACAGTAACCACAGTTTCTCTCAAATCCAAGTGTACTTGAAAACTAAGTGCTTTTTTTTAACCATAAATATCTGCACCAAACACATCTTCTGAGGACATTAATAAATGAATAAATACATGTGACAAGGACTCAAAACATGTGAAAGATAGTTTTAAAAACAAATAAACTTTCTACAGTTGGAAGAAAAACTGCAAGTGTCAGTGAGTCTGACACCATTTTATGCCAGAGATCCCACAAATTAAATGTTTTTCAAATAAAGAATTTGGAAAAAAGAGCAATATAATTCCAAAATGTCAAGGCATTTATAAATTTGAAAGCAGCTATGAGTGTAAGTTATTTTTACTCTATCCCCTCCCACACAGATAAGGTTATTCCCCAAATAAAATACCTCAAAGCACTTTATAGTCATATTTTTACTTATAGTAGTCAATATTCACTCTCAACATAAGCATTCAATAAGGATAAATCAAACACATTAACATGCTGTTTTCATCTACTTAATATAGCATAATTAGCTTTAAAACACAATCTCATATACTTGCAGTCTCCATTGGCTCACACATCAATGACTGATTTCAAATAATTCCTAGTTAAACAAAAATCATGTTATATTAACAATATATTGTATGGTACTGCTAAATTTTAATGGTCTACTTTGATGAAAACTTTTAAAAATTAAAACGGATGAGATATTTAAAAGAAAGAAGTTTAAGCACAGAAGTCAGAAAGAAGTTATGAACAGTAGCCAAATTATGGAAAGATACCAAATGTCTATCGACCTATGAATGGATAAAAAAGATACGAGATATATAGAGATAGAGAGATATTGATATATAGATTAGATATAGATATAGATAGATATCTATCCATTATGTATATATAATGGAATATTACTCCGCCATAAAAAAGAATGAAATCTTGCCATCTATAACAACGTGGATGGAGCTACAGAGTATTATGCTAAGCGAAATAGGTCAATCAGAGAAAGACAAATACCATAGGATTTCATTCATGTGTGGAATTTAGGAAAGAAAACAAATGAACATGGTTGGGGGGGTGGCGGGGAAGAGAGGCAAACCAAGAAACAGACTTAACTCTAGACAACAAACTGATGGTTACTAGAGGGGAGGTAAATGCAGGGATGGGCTAAAAGGGTGATGGGGATTAAGGAGAGCACTTGTCGTGATGAATCACCAACTTCTACACTTGAAACTAATATTACGTTGTATGCTAATTAGCTGAAATTGAAATAAAAACTTGGGGGAGCAAAAAGTCAAAAATAAGACCACTAGAACAGTAAATTGCCATTCATTATTTTAATTTGTATGTACCTTATAAAGATTAAATGTAGAAAGAAAGGTAATTTTACTAGAAAACATATGGAAGCAATATCCTTAGTAAAATGAACTCCATTGTCCATCTTTTTATGTTAGCATGGGCTATTTCACTTTGGAAGACAGAGTGAGCTACTTCCTTAGTGTCCGCGATGTCTCCTCTTCAAATTATTTCTCTAACTACCTGAGGTTGTAGTGTCCACTTGTCTCTCCCTCAGAAAGGCCACCTACTATAATGAGAATAATTTGCCACATGCCTAGAATGAAAAGACTGAGCTGTACAGAAAATCTAAAAAGCAAAATGTGTGATTCAGGCTGAGCCGTAGAGACTTAACCGATGTCTTCTAGGTCAAGTGGTTTTTCAACCACAGAATCGATGTACAATACAAAACCGCAAATGAGTAAACTCTGTTGTCTAAATCTCAGACTAAGAATTGAGCAGTTAAACACCTTGTTAGTGAGCATCTTTCAATATTAATATATAAAAATGTATATGTAAACATTAATATATAAAAATTGAGCTGGATTTTAAAATATTTAAAGATGGCAGTGTATCAGGTGATTTCATGGGTTTGGCTTTTGCTTTTTAGATCAGTTTTCTTGGTGAGTTGCCCCAAAATATTCTAAAATTAAAAATACTATAAATGCCAAACAGATGTTCAAGAAAACAAAAGACATTTATAGGCATTTACATTTTCATAGATCTCTACAGTATTAGTTTTCAATTTTCAAAACCTAAATCATTAAATGTTCAAGATGCATAGATCCATGTGCTAACTCTGCAGGTGTTTCAACATGATGTTTGATGGATAAAAAAATGTCTCTTTCAACTAAACTAAAAATTGAAGTACTTGCAATAATAAACAGTACACTAAAAACGCACTCTAATAACTTAAACTTTTCAGTGGCTTTTAATAAACAGCTAACAATTTCTCCCATCATAACAACATGGTACAATTAGAATGTATATTTATATATTGCTTTTTACTTCACTTTTCATTTTTGTGTTTTGTCCACATGCTATTATTTCCACCACTTTGTTTCAGACACGGGGAGGGCAATTACAAGCCTCTGTATATTCTACAACTGTGTGTCACACTGAATAGAAGAATTGATCTCACCGAGACCTGGTTCAAAGTAACTTTTTAATCTATATTATCAGAAATGGCCTCTGCAATGACCATAGCCAAATTATCAAGGGAGACAATTTCTACATAGCCAAGAGGTATTCAGCATTTATTTGAATTGCAAAATCTGTCTCTCAGTAGTAACAGTGCCTACACCTGCATCTATCAGAAATGTCGGACTGAATACAAGCAAGCTGAGCAAAATTGCCACATAAAAAAGATTATGAATTCACAATAATACTGAATAATAGTAGAGAAACACGTGGCTCTAAATCAGTCCAATTATGATATAAAGCTACTCTTTACCAAATTCATTGAACTTTTAGAACAGTGTGACTACATCATGCAGCAAATAATTAGAATGTTTAATATTGTACATATAGTATATGTCTAATGCTAGATTCCTTCACTGGGCAGACTGGCCTGCTATTCAGTCTTACCTGCACATTTGGTTCTCGTGATTAGAGGAGGTCCTGGGAGCCCCGTTCCACCTTCACCAGGTCTTGTAAGCAGAACACGGATCTCATATTCAGTATCTGGATCCAAATGCCATAATTTGTAAGTTGGAGCATTGACGGCATGCGTCTCTGTCCAGGATCCTGACGTCATTCGGTACTCCACTTCTTTCAGGATAATGGGACCATCCCCAATGATGGAGTTGGCATTCAGCTGAATCAGCAAGTATGTAGGCCCAACACCGAGCAGCTGGGGTGGAGCAATGGGTCTTGGTGGTTCTAGGAGAGATGAATGCGCAACCTAATTAGCTAAAAATCCAAAAGAATGCACTACAGGGGTATGTTAATGTCTTTCAAAGCTCAATGAATAATTTACTTAGGAGTACATAACAAATACTTACAGAAAACCAGAACATGAGTGATTTGGAAACTGTACTTTTAAAGAGCAAATACTTTCACAGATGGGATATGACCCTTTTTACCACAAATTTTTTTTTTATTAAAAACATGTCTCCCCAGGAGATAAACTTGTACAGGCACAGTAACCAAGGGAAATAAAAGGAAAATATTTAAAGATGGATAGCTCTGATTAGCTACTGAGTACAGTTGATCTTTGACATTCTTGAGGTCCTAAGACCTCTACAAATCTTCAAATTAATGAAAACTGTTTTAACTCCTTATTTCATTCATGAAATATGGCAAAGCAGTGTTTTTGGTTTTGCTTTGCTTTTCAACCAAAGCCGAGTTCCTGCAGATGAGATAAAGAGGAAGGAACAGCAAAGCTGAAAGTAGAAGCTGATGCCAAGTGCTGACTTGTTTCTACACACCCATCACAGAAGGTAAGAAATTTAAATTTACACTGAGGCCAAATCACAAGTCACTACATATCGCTAGCCTTTGGGAGTAGCATGTGATAAAGCAATGCATCGTGCATTAAACTCAAATGTCAAAGGTACACTACAATTTAATTTTTTGGACAGCTAAGATATTTGCTTCAAAGAAACTTTGGGAAACATTACTGAAATGTTTGAACTTATAGAAATGATCAAAGATGAATTTGGGCTCCCCCCGTTCCTTTAACAATGATGTAGCTGATATTTGATACTGGACTTTATGAAGGACTCCACAGCTCTAACTTTGTCCATGTGGTCTCTCCACAGGGACTCCTATGTCATGAAGATGTTCTAATTAGTACATTGTGATCAGGTGGGACTTCTTTGAATCTCTTGAATACCACTTCTCAGGGAAGCCAAAAGACTTTAAAGGAAAGTGTTAATCTTAGCAAAGTGGTAACAACTGCCCAAATATTGTTTTAAAAGTGCATGTGTGTGTGTTTTAAGAGTTAAAGTAAATTATATGAAGGAAAACTTTTTTTTTTAATTTTATTTTTAAGTAATCTCTATACCCAATGTGGGGCCAAGAGTCACAACCTGAAGCCAGCCAGGGGCCCTGAAGGAAAACGCTTAACTGCCACCACACAATGGTTCCTCTTCTCCCTCAGGAGGGGTGGACTGGAGAAGATGTAGATAGTAGGGAGTTAAAAAGACAATTTCAAAGTAGATTTTCTATTATAATGGCAACACGTACTTGGAATAATACAAAATGCAAAACAAAACAAAACAAAACCTCAGTTTTTACCTCCTGATGTAGGTTTAAATGAAGGGTTTTCAGCTGTAGCCCAAGATTTGCTTTTAGGCCCTAACAGTATAAAAGTATAGTTTTCACTTTATGAACCCCTGAGTTACAAACACCCCTAACATAAGGAATAGTACTAACTGGCCTAGATCTCTATGCAAACTAAAGTCATTGTCAGTAATTTTCTTCCAAAATTCATATGACAAATGTTTACTGAATGACTAGTAATTATTAGGCTGTTCTATACACTGCTTTTTCAGATAATATGGCAAGGGAGGCACAATAACAATAAGTCAATGAATTCATTATTTTAAAATGAGTGTGATGTAGAAAACAAACAGATACATAGTGTAACAATGTTGTGTGGTAAGAGAGGGCAGCTACACTTGTGGTGAGCATAGCAGAAGACATAGTATAGGCTTGTTGAATCACTACATCGTACACCTGAAACTAAGGTCCTATTGTGTGTCAGCTATACTCAGATAAAATTTAAAAGCAAAAAAAAAAAAAATAACATGGGGTGGAGATGTCTACAGAGTAACACCAACTTCCTTTTTTTCTATCCCATATCACTTGAAGCATATGAAGTTGGTCCCATCAGTACCATGGCTCTTTATGGCAATAGCTTTCAAACTAGTAGAAACGCATGAGCCGTGTTTCACTATGCTCATGTATCGAGTGAAAATAAAACGAAATTAAATAAGATAATGTATGTGGTACATAAACTTCACATGTAGAATTATTTCTATTTCCAGGAGAAAGTAGTTCTTAACACCATCTGTTCTTCATGGCTTAAAAATTGCTCCCACAATATAGAGTCAAAATTGGGTAGAAGGCGAACTCTTCCAATGTTCACAACCGACTTCCCTCAAGAAGTCACTCATAAAATAAAAAGTTTAAATAAAACCAAAATAGTTCAGGATTTTCATTTAACTGCTAAAGAAAGAGCTAGACATTTCATATCATAAACTTTTACCAACTAAATGACTTTTACATTTTGAGTTTACAAAAGTCTTAGTAGACAGAGAGAAAGATAAAGTTGACATATTTTCTAAACCTTAAACTGAAATGAAACTGAATAGAGAAATGAGCATAATAGAAGAAATGCAAATATCTTCGCAGACTATCTAAATGTTGCACACATTTTAAGAAGCAGTCTGTATTTTTGCGAATAAACTGAGTTGCCTCACATGTGCAAGGTTTATTTTCACTCCAGATGGCTCGTATACTGACTAATTTAAGTTAAATAGTAAATGCAGCTAAATTCACAGATTACTGGGGGTCTAACCCAAACCCTCAATGCTTCACTCACATCACAGCTGAAAAACAACCTGAAGAGGTCTCATATTAACATGATGGAGCGATTTGTCAAATGAATTATGAATAACAAACCTTGGTTAATCTCTCAATTTATAAATATTCTGAAACCTGAACTAATAAGTGTATACTGAATGATAAATCTCACCCTGCAAAACCCTGCACATCACTGCTGTGGAAAATAAGAAGCAAACAAAGGAGGAGAGCAGAAGGGAGAGAAAAAGAGAAAAAGCTAAAACATGTTATTAGAAACAAGTGAAAAAATAAAGCATGATATTTCTTCTATCATTTCTATCTTTAACCAAATGACATGTAAAAGAAAATGAAATTTCAGGGCACCTGGGTGGCTCAGTCGGTTGCACATCTGACTCTTGACTTCAGCTCAGGTCATGATCTCACAGTTTGTGAGTTCAAGTCCCTCAACAGGCTCCACACTGACACTGCAGAGCCTGCTTGGGATTTTCTCTCTTTCTGTCCCCACTCCCCCCACTTACTCTCACTCTCTCTCTGTCTCAAATAAATAAATAAACTTAAAAAAAGAAGTTACTTTAAAATTAAAATAATAATAATAATAATAATAATAAAGAAAATGAAATTTGACATCTGGACATTCTAGTTTCACAAAATGTACACATGAATAGCTGGGTCAGTGTGAATACATTAACTTCTTGACATTACAATATCTTCATTGGTAAACTAGGGATTATTATTACAAGGGTTTTTAAAGACTTTACGTTTCTAAACATGTCAACAAGCCCCATATTTGCTGCTATTTTTCTTTGTTTTGCCAGAGAGCATATAAATTTAAAACCAAAAATTAATATTCATAACTACTGTTTTGTGTACATGAAGAAATGAGTTTGATATAATCAGGTGCTTAGCCTGAAGAAGGGTAATAAATCACTCTGATCAGTTTTACATTTCACTTGCTATGGTCAAGCAAACAAAAGGTTCAGTCTAGTCATCAAAGCAGTTGCTCAGTTTGGGAACTGTGACAATGCTCAGAGAGGCTTAGAAGCATATACATTGATTAACAGCATGACTAGAACTGAAATCTAGCATTAATGAGGCTAATATACCACTACATATTAAATTTTTTATGTTGGAAGTAAAAAGTAGCCTCATATTAGCATATGTATTTTGTTGTTAGGCCCTTGAGAACAGGAAGGCTTATTTGTAAAATCTCTATTCATTTCAATAAATTATGCATGAATTTTAATCAGCTAGCAAATGAACAAGTAATTGTTCTGCAGCAATATTAATATTCTTCATAACTTAATACACTATCAGACCCAGAGGTGTGGTGTGAATAAATCACAATTGTACACTAGGTATCAACTGAAGCATGCAATCCCCAAAATACAGGATAAACTTTGCCAATGTAACAATTAACTTCCAATTAATGACTTACATTCATTATTCTAGATCTAAACCTATTATACAATCGTAATTGTACATTCAAATTGCTTTATTTATTTCAGATAATTTCAAAAACTGTCTCAAAATCAAGATAAGTCATTATGAAACTATATCCTCATCCAATTATTCCTATTACAATGCTATTTTACAAACACATGTGTCACTTACTAACATTCGGTTAAATAATAAAATGCAGAATCAGAAATAGAAGCCACAAAGCCAGAAAAAAAGTCAGCAAAGTAAACATCAAGGCAAATGACACTTCGATAGTCATCCATCCAAATAAGCAAATCAAATTATCTCTCAATCCTAACATCTTCCAAACTGTTTTATTTATTGCCAAAGAAGCCTTGACTAAAAAGTATCTCAAGATTAGTCCTGTCACTTAAAAGCAGGCAGTGGCAGGGGCGCCTGGGTGGTGCAGTCGGTTAAGCGTCCGACTTCAGCCAGGTCACGATCTCGCGGTCCGTGAGTTCGAGCCCCGCGTCGGGCTCTGGGCTGATGGCTCAGAGCCTGGAGCCTGTTTCCGATTCTGTGTCTCCCTCTCTCTCTGCCCCTCCCCCATTCATGCTCTGTCTCTCTCTGTCCCAAAAATAAATAAACGTTGAAAAAAAAATTAAAAAAAAAAAAAAAAAGCAGGCAGTGGCACTACACTTGTCCTCTATGGCTGCTCTAACAAATTACCACTACCTTCATGGCTTAAAACAGCAGAAATGTATTCTCTCATGGTTCTGGAGTCCAGATACTCAAAATCAGTATACCTGGGTCGAAGTCAAGGTGGCACCAGGCCATACTTCCTCCAAGTGACTAGGAAAGAATCGGTTACTTTCCTTTTCCAACATCTGCTGGCTGTTGGTATTCATTCCTTGGCTTGTGGCCACATCACTCCAATCTCTCACCTGTTACAG